CCATGAATACTGTTGCATTTCAGTTTTAAGTTGATTGAAGTTTGGGGTGTGAGATCTGGAGTTCCCTGAGATGGGGTTTTAGGCCCCAGAGAATTCTCCACAGCAAGGGAAGGCTTGAGCATGAATCAGAGACACCTAGAGGGCTTGTGAAGCCACAGACCGTGGACCCCACCTCCAGGATTGCTCATTCAGTAGGTCTGGGTGGGGTCTGAGAATTTCCCAGGTGACACTGACATTACTAGTCCAGCACCGCACATTCAGCCACTGACCTAGAGAAACTAAAGTTAATCCCAACATTCTGTCCATCTGTTGCCTTTCCCCAGTGAAACCATGATTACTGTGGTTCAGGTACCTTAACCAGCTCAGCTAAAATGGAGCTAAACCCATCCCTTTGTGAAAGAGTTGGGCTGGATTAACAAGAGTTAGAATCCAAAGAATGCTGAGGAGAAAAAACATTACTGAAGAATTAGGTTGGAAGAACAGACATTATTAAAATGTAATTCAACAATGATAAACTCAATATATTTAAATTAGCCTCACTATAGCCCAAATTTAAAATTGCTAAGTAACTGTAGTTAATGTAAACCCATATAAGTACCCTAATTTTTCTGTAAATTAATAGAAAAATAGAATCAATGAATATGGTGAGAAACCAAAGAAAGAGAATCACCAGGTAGAGGGAAAAATAACTAAGAGACTAAGGGCATGAAATGTCATTTGAAATTGAGTTAGTAGGGTTTAATCAAGGTATTTAAATGCATTCTACTATACAGTACAACTTACATTCTGTATTTAAGTGAGATTCAATATAATAATGATGAATTTTTATTACATGAAAGCTATTCAGAGATGCTTATGAAATGATTGTAGACAAATTATCTCTATGACATACTACAAAAGTCACTTCCATAAATTAGTTTAAGATGTCAGCACTAAGTATATTAAGGTTCAAAAGACTTTAGTTCACTCTGAACTCTTAATAACTCTTGAATATGTTTATGGAGAGAAGAGGTAATACTTTTGCCATTAGTAAGTATCTCATGGATTATTCTGTAGTAAATATAGTGGGTATTTGCTCTTTGGTTGGAAGCCTATGCGATTCTTTTTTTTTTTTTTTTAGCAACTTATTAGGTGCCAAGGTTACACAAATTAATAAGATAGCAATTCAAAGAATTAGCCAGTGACATTATCATCATTCTATTCTATCTGAAGAAAGGAAATAGAATTAATACAACTATCCAGTAAGTCATCTCAGAGAAAGAAACATAATTTGAACTTTGGGTTAATGGAATTTTTCTTCTGATAGGTATGCAACCTAAAGGAATACATGGTCAGAGATCCATAGTTTTCCCCCATAGTGATCTTTATATTGGGAAAAAAAAAGACTAATTTCTAAGAAATATTGTGAATATGGGCCCCTCGTTATATATTTTCTGCTTCTAGAAGCAAGGTTCTTGGGCAGGATTTGTGTGCATTGGTGTTCACACAGGAATTGTTTAAAGAGTAGGAATTGGTGGCAAGGCTTAGAATAAGAGGAAATTAAGTTTTTCCAAATAGGATCACAGATTTTCAGGAAAAGAACCAATGATTTTCTGGGGAACTGGTAATAAAATTTAGCCTTTGATCTAAATGATATAAAAGAAAGTTCTGCATTGTTTTAGAAAATGTACCACCACTGGCAATAAATCTTAGCTCTGACCTCCTGTCAATTATCTAGTTTATGGATCAGTGTACAAGAAAACAATGAATTCCCAACAATTATCATGGGATACAGATACCTTCACATACAAGAGATTTCCTAAGAAAATAAATATATGTTCTATAATGTCAACATTTAATACCACTCTTCCTTTCTAGAAATGACTTCTATAAATTTATTTTTCACTCTACCTTTCATAGGCAGATGGTTTGAAAAAATACACTTTAGCAAAAACAAAAAACAAAAAAAAACTCAGAACAAAAAAGTCACTTTTTCTCACCAGTATCAATTGTATTTCCATTATTCTACAATATCTGAAAATAATCCTCTCTTAACATTGTTAGCAGAAAAGCTCTGTAGTAAAATTAGGGAAATAAAAATTCTTTTTAGAAGCAGATCGCTTGAACAATGTGACTGCCTTATCAAGTAAACTTCAGGTCACATATATCAAAAGGTGCCAAGGCCGATAGGAAACCAGTTTACAGTACATTCTATCTGAAGGGGTGCTGCCCATTAGCAGGATGTCTAAGATGACATGTCCAAATGCACTTCACAGGTGTCACAAGGTCTTAAGACCTTCATGCTTCCCCAAAATCTTCTAACCAGTTCCTCTAATGGTTGTGCTTATTCTGCTTCTTTTATTTTCAAGTTCACAGCAAGTCTCCAAACTCTAAACTAGGAGAAGACCTCAGACATGATTTAGTCTCTTCGCTTCCAAAACATCTTCAGGTGTGATTAACGGAGACCCAGAAAAGTCTACTGCTCTGTCCAGTGCCTACATGCGAGTGATGAAAGGGCCCAGCTTGATTGAAATCCTCATCACGTGATTCACTGGCCATCGACGTGGCTCTCACGGTGGCACTTGATCAATGATCCTCATGGAGCCATGACACCTTCCTTGGAATTACCTGCTCTCAACAGCAATTTGAGTGCACTGCATTTTGAAGAGCCAGTAAAAAGAGAAGCAGGAATTTGTACATGGAATTCTGAACCAGCTACCCTTTATCTAACCCACAGAACAGAACTAGGATCAACTAATATAACAGAGGTAAAGTGATAAAGTGACAGGCTTTGTCCACCATAAAGCATGATACAAATACGATAAGGAATTTTCAAGATCATAAAACCTAAGATATTGTTCTGAGAAAGTTTTGTACAGGAAAACCTAGATGTCTTGCCAAAGATGAATGAGGTATCACAACATATCTGTGACAAATTGTCCCCCCAAATAAAATGATTGGATGCATTTTAAAGATGTATTATAAACAAATGTTAAGAATAATCTTATACAAAAATGTATCTGAGATGGAAACAAACCTGAAATTCAGCAAAAATTTAACCAGTATTTGTAGAAATTTGATTGCTTTGTAAAACTGTAACAAACTGTCAGTTCTAAGGGGAAGAAGTTAAAATAAAACCATTAATTCCAGATTTTCATAATTAAAAGGAAATACATTTTCAACTGCCTATAAAATGATAACATTATTTCCTGTCAGCAACTTTTATACATAATGCAGTTCTGAGCCTGCAGTCGTCTTAAAACTATTTATAGAGCTCATAAGAAATTGGATTCTCACAAATTAACAGACTTTTTTCCCCCGTGAAAGATCAAGTTGAACAAAGATTCATAGCATAGAAAGTTTCTATTCTTCATGCTGCTTTTTTACTGTCTAGAAAGCAGAAACTTCGGGAGTTGGTGATGGACAGGGAGGCCTGGCCTGCTGCAGTCCATGGGGTTGCAAAGAGTTGGACATGATTGAGCGACTGAACTGAAGTGAACTGAACTGAAGAAAGCCTGTAACCAATCACCACCGCCAAAAGCCCCTTCCTGCTTGATTCCCAGCCCCAAGTCAGCCTTGCAAATATTCACTAATCTCTTAAGACACCTAACTGCCTCTCCTCTATTAAGCCTTTCCTGTCATCTCTCTGGCTTTACCCAGTTCTCCAAACACACAGCTCTATGTTCCTGCTGCCCCCTGGTAATAATCTTTATACTTACTAGTCTATCTTCGTCTCCTAGACTTTGGACTCCAAAGACGTAGGGGTACCTTACAGGTCTGTGTACTCAAGCACAGCACAGTGCATGGCACTTCTGATGATCAAATAAGCTCACTCAGTTTGATAAAGCTAACCTTTCTCATCAAATATCTTTTTATCGGTTACTTCCCACAGTGCAATTAAAAAGAGGAAGTTTTCGAGACAAGCACTCTTTTGATTAATTTGCTCAACTCAGCACATGACCATAAAAAAATCAGTCAAGTATTTAATATTTAGTATTTACTGCTGAGTTTACAATAACAGTGTTTTAATAGAAAATGGCATCATGCAGGCAGATAAAAAAATTCAGAAAGCACAAAGAAAGAAAGTTAAGTGATAGTCTAAAAAGAAGTTCTCAAAAGAAATAGTACATGGTGATTAAATACAAACAAACTTTCAAAGTAATATGGTCAAAGTTTATTTCTTCACCAAATACTGAACCAGGTCACATCCTAGTGCTGGGGAAACCACACAACAATGAACAAAAGTCCCCTACTTTCAAAAGACAGCATGACCTAGTAGTGGTGAGGAAAACAACCTTGGATTTAGATTCAAGCTCTACCGCATACAAGCTGTGAAATCTTTTGTAAATTACTTAATCTCTCTGGGTTGCAATTTCCTAGTCTATAAAATGGGAATAATATTACCTATGTCATGGGTTGCTATGAGTTTTCACTGAGTTAATACTTGCAAAGTTTTTTAAAGAACACCTGGAATGTATGATATAAATAAATGCTTGATGACATTTCAAGATGCTTAATTCTACCAAAAAGAGACAAACACAAAACACATCCACAGGTAATTGGCTGTGTGGGGATGACTGCTGTGAAGATATTAAGAACAGTGAGGGAAGAGAGGCTGGGGGTGGTCTTTCTTTCACACAAAGTGGTCTCCCCCAGAATGCCTCTCTGATAATGTGACTTCTGAGCAGAAACCTTAATAAGTGAGGGAGGAACTCTGGAAATCTTGGGAGAGTGTCACAGGCAGAGGAACCAAGTGAACATGCTCTGAGGGAGGCAGCTTGGCACATTGACAGAATCACAGGAGATTAAGGCGAGGTGCTAATGCAAAGCCAGGGAGGAGGAGAATGGCCAGGGGCCAGGTCAGGGCAGGAACGGAGAGGGACCCTGCAGGGCCTTGCAGCTCAAGGGAAGGACTGTGCATTTTAATGAGAAACCACAGGAGGATTTAGAATGGAAGGCTCATGCTTCTGGATTTTTGTGATAAAAGAATCACCATGGCTACTGTGTGGAGAAGACTCTAAGGGGTGAGCCAAGAGTGAAAATGGGAAGATCAGTAAGGAAACAACAGTCTAAGTGAGAGATGATGTATCTTTGATGAAGACGGAGGGGAACATGAGATGTGGCCTAGGTTAGTCCTCAGTTTCCTGACCGAGGGATGGAAGGTAAGAGAGAGGAGTCCAGGATGACTCCAGAGCTTTGAGTCCAAGATTCTGCAGTGATAAAGCTGCCATCAGTTGAAGTGTGCATACCAAGAGAAAGTTTTATTTATCATAGATCAGGTCATCTTCCTCTCCAGAAATCCTCAGTGAGCCCTGCTTACTTTGCAAAGTAAGTCCAGTCCCTAGATCTTCCATTCAAGGTCCTGTTGACACTATACCTACTTGGTCCATGCTCTTTCTGCTCCAGCCAAGCTCGACCCTTTTGCTGGTCCCCAAGCCTTCACGATTGGATGACTTTCTCATGATGTTCTTTTCCCTGGATGCATTTCTTCCTCTTGCCTGCTTAAGAAAAGATCACTAAATCCCTAAGTGATTAACTTGGATTTCCAATTCTCTGATGCAGCTTCTCTGATATTTCTTGGCAGGAAGCTTTAGGCTTTGTACTTTTGTCACACATACTCCATTTTACCTTAAATTATTTTACATAGTTGTCTCATCAAACAGACTGAAAGCTCTTTGCAGGTAGAGATCATATCTTATTTTTATCAGTAGGTCTACAGTTCTTAACATACTACTTGCATTAAGCATAAACATTTCTATCAAAATAAAACTAATGGGTATCTCTTCAAATACTTTGAAATAAAACAACCAAGTGCTCTCTTTAAAACATGTTCATTTTGTCATTTTGTTATTTTTCATTCCTTCAAATAAAGGTCTATTTAAAATTTTTCTTCATTTATAAAATGTTGACAGATAAATTAGAACAGAAAAGAAAGCTATAATGAAAGGGAGAATCCCTATGTGTAAGACAGCAGTAGAGACACAGATGTAAAGAACAGACTTTTGGACTGTGTGGGAGAAGGCAAGGATGGGACGATATGAAAGAACAGAATTGAAACATGTATGTTACCATATGTAAAATAGATGTCCAGTGCAAGTTCGATACATGAAGCAGGGCACTCAAAGTTGGTGCTCTGGAACAATCCAGAGGGATGGGATGGGCTGGGGAGGGAGGTGGGCAGGGGTTCAGGATGACTGGCTGATTCATGGTGATGTACGACAAAACCAGCACAATATTGTAAAGTAATTAGCCTCCAATTAAAATAAATAAACTAATTTTAAAAAGAAAGGGAGAAGTGATGCGTCTCAGGATTTTTGCTTTGTTTTTAAAGTTGACACATTTCTTTGGCTGATTATGAGGGTAATACCCTTGAGTTTTACATGATAAGGTTAAAAATGTCTCTCTGATATCTAAGTATATAGTTCAGGCAATATGCCTTAAGATTTTATTTTTTCTTTCTTTCTTTTTTTTTTTTTAGCACAGCTACAAGCTTCTCCGGGGAACCAGCTATAACACAAAGATTTGGTACTGTCTGTCTCTTCCATTTCAAAAAACTACAAATTACGTGCTTTGAGACATGAGGAAGGAAAACATTGATTGTATAGGACATTTCAGTAGAGTAGAAGGTATTCTAATTCACATGATAATCAACACAGGCTTTTTCTTTGGAACAGATTGCATAATCGAACATTTTTATGGATTTTGATAAACATACTTTACTCTCAGAGGGATTTCAAGTTTCTGGTGTGAGTCTCCTTTCTGGACACCATGGTACACAATTAAGGCAAAGGAAGAACCCAACATTAACTTATAAAGCAGCTATTAGTGATTGACTTCATAAGGGAATAATGTCTGTCCCTGATAGTTCTGAGAACTGAATACACTAGTTGTAGTGGGGGCACTGGAAACCACTAATGGCCTGAGAGATTCTCTAGCATTTCTTATATTCATGCATAAGCATCATTATCCATCCCAAATTTATGCTTAAAAATGAATAATTCTAGCTGGGGCAGGAAGAGCAGACAATTATCTTTTTTTCTTTTTTTTTTTAAACCACAAACTCTGCCACACGTGGAACCAAACATTTTATATACAAAAATCTTAATTTTCACAATAACCTGGGAGGTTGTTCATTTTGTCCCCAAAGACAAAGATGGAAGCTTGGAGAGATTAAGTCACTTCCCCAAGGCTGAAGCAGCCATTAGTTGTAGGAACTGGGGGTTGATCTCAGGGTATCAGATGCCAGCATCCATCCAGAGTTACTCCTTTATGTTACTGTCTGTGTCCTGAGATCCCCCTGTATGCCTGTGTGCCCCGCACTGTGGTGTCATCAGATGCGTTGGTGAAGACAAGCATAAAATCTGCTGTCATGTGGCTTACCTTACAGCTCTGTAACAGAGAAAGGAAAAGGGCTTCTATGCTTTCCTGAAGATGTAAGGAGAAGGCCCTACTGCCCAAGCTAGAATAGTTTCCATCAACGTATTTTATCAGAAACATTAAAGTATTGTCTATTTCAAAGTAAAGTATGTTTGAATGGAATTATTTCTACTAAATTTACGGGGAAATTTCCATAGAATTTAATGATTTTTCCCCTGTTATACTCCCACTTTTGTTAATTGAAGAAAATGTCCCTATGATTTTGAAAATGTAGAGCTGTGTCTGACAGGGCCTTCAGAAGAATCTATGAACATATACTAGGAGACAGTGTCAGCTGAGTCCTGGTCCAGGCAATCACCATGATGTACTCAATTCTCAGCTAGCTATCAGATGCGCATCACATGCATTTGTATTCTAATGGATTGCTGTCAATAAACACCCATCTATTATTTATGCTTTGTAGCTCACAGAAACATTTTGTGCTGTCATGTCTGTGACCACAGGTTCTCAAAACATCCATATTCCTATTTTGAAACTAAATTTTACAAGGATATAGAAAATGAAAAAATAAAAAGCCTCCAAGGTATAACCCACAGAGAAATCCTCTCTTTACATTTTGGTGCTGTCAAAACATTTTTTTATTCATAGTCATCCAAACAGAAATTCTCTTCTTCTCATTTTGGACCATTTAAATATTGACTCATTTTATTTTTGCTTCATTTTTGCCCAGTCTTCAAATTTTAATGGAACCTTCTTTTGAATAACATGTATAATATATCATTTACTTTATGCATTGCGGTAGAATCATTTCAATTTTACTAGATACTTTGGTTAGTATTGGTTGTGGGAGATAACATGAACAATTTATAAGGCTCAAGAGACTTAAGAAAATATAAGTAGGTAATATTTCTTAGATAAACCCTAAAGAGTAAATAAAAAGCTATCGCTTTAATTCATTCTGTCCAATAGAAAGAAGCTATAAGTGATATATAATGGGATCAAAATGTGTGCTTCTAAGACGGTTCATCTACTTCAGACCTGATGATTAGTGAATTGCTATATTTCTCAGAATTTAGTCATTATTTCAAAATAATATTAATGTAGAAGAGGCTCCTATAATCCACAGGAACATTGTTAACTAATTGTTTTCCATTCCTTCTGTACAACATATCCCTTATCTTTAAAGGGAATAATATAGCTCCACTGATAGGAAAGATTACTCTCAGGTTCCAAAACATAGAAGAACTGGAGTGGAGGCTTTTAAAAAAATCTGTTGATAAATTATTTAAAACTGACTGAGCTAAGAAACCACCAGAAGAGAAAATATTTACTAAATGAGGTAGAAATCTTAAAAATCGTCAGTGCTGGAATACTTTAAAGCCCCTTCCCTGTTCTTCCCGCCTCTCCCCTTATCCATCAGTTCTCCAAATGTCCGCTTGAACCCTCTGGCCAAATCCTGTTTCAGGGAATGTACTTGTGGACTTGGCACAGCAGGCATTAAAGATGCCACTAAGCTGACATCTGCTCTTGGACACGTGAACCTTAAAAGGCCTGAACGCATATAATGTGCTATGCCAACTAAAGAGAAATAAAAAGCAAAAAAGAAAAAAATGAAAAGAAATGAATTGAAAGTATACTTAAATGAAATTTTAATTTAAAGGTGTGCATTGGTGCGCGCTCATACACACGTATAAACACACTCATATGTTCCACTTGCTTTAGATTCATAGCACTGAGTACAGAATTGGAATGCCACAAGAGCTGCTCTGATAGTGACATATGTTTTGCATTATTTTTAAAGAACTACTTCTTATACTCTTTTTGCCAAAGTGTTATATTATCATTGGTGCTCTTTATAACTCTGTGACCTTTGCCCATACAGAGAAAAGTTCTCTTCATATTCTTTTCAAAGAAGCCCAAACATACATAGCTAATAAAACAAAGGTATATGTCACCCAACATGCTTTGTCATCCCAAAGCACTGAAATTCTTTTCCCAGAACCCTGACTCCAAAGATGCTCTCAGTAGCTCCATCTCTAAAACGCATTGGAAATTAATGGAAAGTTGATTACACCCACTGCCTCTATTTTTAAAAATATTTTTACAAAGCGGTAAATTGTTTCCACTCAGTAAAAATGATGGATTATTGTATAGTTTGAAAAAATTAATGAACAGATGGAATATCAACCCATTATTCATTAAAATATTTCACTGGGTTAATTCAGCAAATAAAAATGGAGAAGAGCAGATGGCCATTTATAGTTCTCTTGATTTCTTAAACTACTTCTTTACAGCCAGAACTGCTCCTATATTTAACTTGAAATGCACAGCTCTCACCATATGCACAGTAAGCAAGTATTCATGTGACCTCATAAACTGTTCATATAAGACAGCAATGATTTTTACGATTTACTTAAAGGAACACTATACACTTACAAAGTAAGTTATTCCCATAGCCCCAGTATTCTGGGGATAATTTGAATTTCCTGGACTCAGTAGATCCTTGCCATGATTATCTGGTTTGAAGTAGGTTCAAGTTGGCCCATGGGTAAAATTTCACAAAAGGAAGTGATCAACTTTGTTATAAATGCTGAAGTATGCCAAGCATGCATAAAATTATTACAGAGTAGGCAATGTTTCTCTTAAGGCAATACTTTATTTTTTCATTATATCCTAATCCTATAAGTTACTGCCTTTGAAAAAATTTTATCCTCATGTAGAGCATATGGGACTCTCATATAACTAAATGGAATGAACCACTTTGGAAAACTGTTTGACTGTATCTAATACAGCTGAACATATACATACTCTATGACCAACAATTCCACTCTGAGGTATAAACCCAACAGAAACACATACATAGATCCACAAAGACACTGCTATAAACTTTCTTAGATGCATTATTTGTAACAAGAAAACAACTGAGATAGAATCAGTAAACAAATTGTGACATATTTATACAATGGCATAATAGATGACGGAAATCAACAAACTTCTGCTATAAAACAACAGGAGTGAATGTTAAAAGCATAAAGCTGAGTGAAAGAAGGCAAACACAAGAGCGTGTACTGTGCAGTTCCATTTATGGGAACGTCAGAAGTTGACAAAAATCACTGTGATGACAGAAATCAGCATAGTGGTCGCGTTGGAGGAAAAGTGGGGAGCAGTGACTGAGTCAGGCAGGGGTAGTCCGAGTGCTGCTCATGTTTTTTTGTCTTTCACTGCATACTTACGATTTGTGACCTTCTTAGTAAGCATGATAGACTAATCATTTTTAAAGTTTAACGTAGAAGACAAACACAATGAAGAAAAAAGCCCTTGTATCAGTGCTAAGGGTAGTAAAGAAATTAGGCCATAATGAACAGCAAGAATTACATTGTACCAGTTAACCCAAGTGATATAGTACAATAAATACATCTAAACACTATTTTCATAAAGTTCTCCAATCTCCATATTCACACTTTCACATTGACACCTTTCCCCTGTTATAGAAGATGATGTTTCTCACAAATGCTGAACCTTCCTCCTTCTGAGGAGCATCCTTTCATTTGTAAAAATCCTTTTCCCAATTCTCCTCCACGTGGCCTGTGTCCCATGACACTCTCCCCAGCCCTTCTGGTGAGCCATGGATGGTTCAAGCCAGAGTTTCTCTCATGTACAATGTTCTCAATGGGGCAGGACAATTCTTTGTTGTGTGGGGCTGACTGATTGACCCAGGCACTCTCACATGGTTAGTTTCCTTGAACCTGAATCTCAGATGCCCATAGCCTGTAGGGTCTATAGTTCTTATAGCACGGAGTTCATGACTGGGATTCTAAGACGTTAGAGACAAGAGACCAGGAATAATGTCCATTCATTGCTATTCCACCTAAAGCTAACAGTGCCTGGGCATGTTACCTTTTCAGTAAAGATCACTTGAACTTATTAGGCATGTATTCAGTAAATGTTCATGAAAACCTTCACGTGTGAGGCATGGTTCTCAACAACAGGGATAGAGTGATGAATAAAGCAAACCAAATCTTGCACATGTTGATTCTCTTCTAGCGAGAAAGAAAGAGATGATTAACAAGTAATAAACACAAAGAGAAAAAACAGCATAGCGATAAGTGCTGAGAAGTTAGGAAAAATAAGATAATATGATAGAAATCAATTGAAAGGGGACTGGTTACTTCAGGGGTCCTCAACGAAGGGTGGTTTTGCCTCTGGGGACATTGGATAAGATATATGTAATTGTCACAGCTGAGGAGCTTTAGTGGGCAGAGCTAAGGATGCTTCTGAACATCTTACAATACACAGGGCAACCCCTCTCCACAAAGAATTAGCTAAGCCGAAATGTCAGTGGTACCAAGATTGA